AGTGCTGAGAACTATGGAGTGAGAGTCCTGGTGACCAGTTCACTTTCTCCTTTGTCTTAGTTCAGATATGGCAAAAGCGGTTTTCTCTTGATGAATCTAATTTAGGGGAACCATGGCAGAGGTGGGAAATTCAATGAGACACCTCACTCGGGAGTTTGGTGGCTCTCCCTGTAAGACTCGCATATTTTTTTAATAATTGAAAGGGGCCTTGGAGAATCTCTTTTTTATAGATGAAAAAACTGAGGCAGACAGAGAAGGTAGTTGCCTCAAGGCAGCACAGTTAAGCAGCAGCAAAGCCAAGACTAGACCCCAGTTTTATTGGCTCTTTGGTCCCAAATTCTTTTTATCATCTTCCTTTGGCTGGAAAAGAAATCGAACTGGGGGATCTGGATAGGGTGGGAAAGTTCAATCACTGACATTTAAAATAGTGAAGGACTCACTCCATTCAACTTGTGTCACGTCCCATCTCCCCACTCCCCCAAATTAGAGGAACCCTAAAGAGCACGCTGCTTGCTGTAACTTACAGCAAGGCTGCCTGCAAGACCAACCCACCGCCTCTTTCCTAAACCTATCACCAGGGCAACTGTCAGTACCACCTTGACATTCAAGCCCATAAGCATTTTGTTGCACCCACATCCAGAGCTTCTGGGCTCACACCTATAATCAGCTCTTTGCTGCTACTTCTGGAAGCAACCTTACAGACAGCTAGCTCCCTGCTTCCTCCAGCTCTGTCCCTCTACAAAACTCCCCCTCCCCCTACCTTAGTCTGTCTTTCCTCGCCCACCTCTTCTCAGGAGAAAAATGCACAATCTGCTCTCTGCATATATCATCACCTTTGGAGGGAGGAATCTGCCCCACTGTTGTAGCAAAAGCAAAAAAGCTACCCATACATGAGAAAAACACCTCCTTTCTAGTGGGGGAGGAGAAGGTGAGACAGGCGGAGAGAGAGAGAAAGCGTGCACTGCATCTCTCTCTCCCTTGGGCACACTCAGGCAGAAAAGAGGACCCGAAAATTAATAGAGAAAATTTCTAATCTCACCATTAAGAGAAATGTAACTTTATTTTACACACAAGAAAACAGATCATGCATAACTTTGGGCAAATGCTTCCTAGTTTCTGGAAGTTCTTCCATTCTTCTCAGTTTCTTCATTTTTAAGATAAAGGCGTTATAAATAATGATGATGATAATGATAATAGCCAGCATTTATATAGATTTTAAGGTTTACAAAGCACTTTATATATACTCATATATATGATAGATGTATTTTACATGATCCTCACCAAAACTCCATGAGGTATGTGCTTTTACCTCCTTTTTACAGATGAGAAAACTGGCTGAGACAGAGGTTAAACGACTTGTCCAGGGTCACACAGCTAGCAAGTGTCTGAGTCAGGATTTGAACTCAGGTCTTCTTGACTCCAAGCCTACCGCTGTGCCAGCTAGCTGAAGATAATCTTTGGATATTAATGTAAGATTCACAGTGACTGATGAAAGAATACAATCTCCGGGCTAAAATTTTCACAGTTGAACACGTCTATAAATGAATTGAGTTTATGTTTAAGTAGTTGGTTGTTTAGTTGTTTCAGCCATGTCAGACTCTTCGTGACTCCATTTGGGGTTTTCCTGGCAAAGATACTGGAGTGATTTGCCATTTCCTTTTCCAGCTCATTTTACAGATGAGGAAACTGAGTCAAATGAAGTAAGTGACTTGCCCCAGTGACTAAGGCTAGATTTGAAGTCAGGAAGATGAATTTTCCTGACTTCAGGCCCCAGTACTCTACCCACTGTACCACCTAGTTGCCCTAAAATTGGCAATTAATATCTTTCCGGCTAGCTTGAAGGAACCTTAGAGTTAAGCCAACTCTCTCATTTTACAGATGAAGAAACTAAATTCGGAGATAGGGCACACGATTTACCTGAGGTCAGACAGACAGTGAGTAGAAAGGCTCGGACTTTCTTCTGACTCCACATGCAAATTCTGGCTCCCCTGAGGGCATCTAGTACAACTTGTCACCTCAGCCTGGAGTCCCTTCCATCTCTCTGACTGTAGTAATGGTGCCTTTGACTGAGGACCCCCAGTGATCAGGAACTCACTACTTTAAGAGGTAATCACTGTTGGACTGTTCTATAGCTAAGGAACTTCCTCCTCGCAGTGATTAATGTGAAAAGGGACTCTGCCACTTCTAGAAATTTTCTTTGCCAGGACCTCTCTTTTGTACTGTTCACTTTATACCATACTCTCTACTCTTTCTCCATAGATCTACTCTTTACCATTGCCATGTGTATACATGTTGTAACTCCCTTAATAGATTATAATCTCTTCAAAGTAGAGATGATGTCATATGTATATTTTCCCCCAATACCTAGCAGTGTTTGTGCACATTGAATGGATGTATGTGGGTACTCCCTCTACCTATTAAGATTGCAACTACATAACTATCAGCTGAACCATGCATCTATGTGTGGTTTGTGGTCAATATGCTCGTTTTTATAATGTACACAATAATATGTCTGTTATTAAGATTTATAGAACTGCAAATGCTATCCTTTAGAATGATTTGTCATAGGGGAAAGCTCTATCTCCTTAAAACAAAGCCTCTATTGTCTATTTACAAAAAAATCATGTCTCAAGGTCATCCCTCTTAGTAGGGGTCAAGCCATTTTAGAATTAAAAAATATTCAGGGACGCTGTAGTACAACTTATGTTTTGTTTTCCTATTTACCTATGCAGTTTGTTGTGTGCTACTATCTTGCCTTATACCTCTAAACTGTGAGATCTCTCCCTGTTTCCAAAAATTCTGATGCTCATCTTAGCCCTAATGCAAAAGTTTTTTGGTAGCACCCTAGTTCCTATAAACAACAGATTTCCATATCCTGAGCAGAGATAAGAAATATGATTATTCTGACATCTGCCACCCAATCTAGCTAATCACAACTAGAAATCCCTGGGAACTGAAAAGTGAAACATTACCAACACACATCAGAGGAAGGACCTTTTCTGTATTCGCAGGAAAAAGCTGGTGAGCCAATCTGGCATGCTGCAACTCCCAGGAGCCATCTGGGAGCTACCACTCTGTCATGAGCTAATCCCAAACCACTGGTCTCTGCAATGCCCAAATGGCTGGTGGAGGGCCAATTCAAGACTCAGAGGAAGACAATACCCCAAACCTCTTGGAGCTAGCTGTAAATAATAAAGTTCAATGAACCTCATCAGGATGTGCACATTCTAGGAGTGGCCTGTTTCTTACTTCCCCAGGAATGGCAATTTTTTATGAAACTAAAAGGAGGAAATAACTGCAAAAGGGAAACTGATCAGATTCTCTTGTTCCATAACAGAGAGACTCCCAAATAACCCAAACCTTCAAATCCTATACTATTCTTGTCTATGTCCTTCTGGAAGACTTTCATAAAGAGTCCAACCAATGTGATGAAGGCCTTCCTCTGCTTTTTTAAAATTTTGCCGATGTTGGCACAGTACTTGGGTTGTTCATCTATCATTCTTCATTCTTGTTCCATGATTGGCTTATCATCTTTTCTGACCATATATATCCTTGACAATTTTTCATTATCTGATAACAATAACTAATATTTACATAGCATTCTCAGGTTTGCAAAGCGCTTTACATGTATTCTCTCATTTCATCCTCACAACAACCCTGTGAAATAGGGGCTATTATTATCCCCATTTTGTTAAGGAGGAAACCAGGGCTGCCAGAGGTATAAGCCATTCATGATTAATATATTGCAACCTGCTTTCCTCTGCCATGCACCTTTGACTCACTTACATTTGTAATGACTTTGACATTGTGCTGTTCAGCCCTGTATCATCCCAGTGAGAACACTGGTGTTAAAAAGATCGACTTTTGTGGCAGGGCATTATTTGGAACTTTTGTGAAATTTCCCGAAGATGTTACTGCCTCTATCCTCTTATTTGATCCTGGGCCCAGGTCAGTGTTCACCACTGCTTGTCCAAGATTCATGTTGTGGTTGTTTGGTTGTTTGGGTTTGTGGCCCCATTTAGGGTTTTCTTGACAAAACTACTAGAGTGGTTTGCCATTTCCTCCTCCAGCTCATTTTACAGATAAGTAAACTGGGGCAAACAAGGTTAAGTGATTTGTCCAGGACCATACAGCTAGAAAGAATTTGAGACCAGATTTGAACTCAGAAAGATGAGTGTTCCTGACTCCAGGCCCAGCATTCTAACCACTATGCCACCTCTATTCAGCTCGCACAGGAAGGAACAATCTTCATCCACTCGGTTTTTCCGATGTAGATTGTTAGGTTAAACTCTTTTGAAGGTGTCTAGGTCTTTCAGGAGGTTCCCGTCACATCGAAGGGTCTGATGCAATCAGCACAATGTCACCTGCAAATAGGAGAGACCTCATCCAAGGAACCCCTTTTCCATTTGTCCTCGGTCCAGGTTACCCTCCAATCTGGGTGTGAACACCTTTGGAGGCGCCTGCCCCCCCAACAAGTTCTTTTCCTCACAGTCCAAAACCTTTTCCTTCTCCTCCTCGTTTCCTTTCCCTTCATTCCCTTCTCAGGAGATGAAAAGGAATAGATAATTCGCATTTTTAGAAGAAAAGGGGGAACAGACCAGAGAAACAGCCCACTCCCAGTACCCTTACCCTCAAGTCACCCAAAGGCAGTGAGAGTTTGGAGGGAGGGGAAGGAGGAGAAGGAGAAATGGGAGGAGCCTCGGAGGGCTGGGGGGAAAAGGGATGAGGGGAGAGGTGGTGGTGGTGGTAGTGGAGGGGGGGGCACCTATGACGTTGCCCTGGCAGTTGCGTCCAGACGCCACGCGACGTCACGGGAGGGGGCGGGGTTCTGGACGGATCAGGGGCCTGAGCTGCGCGGCTCTGGCTGTTTCCCCCCGCCCCCTGAGCCCTTCACACGCCCGCCCTCTTTCCTCTCTTCCTTCCCTCTTTCCCTCCTTCCCTCCCTCCCCTTTCGTCCCTCCCCCTTTCTTTCCCACAGCCCCTCCCCCTTCCTCCCTCCTTCCTCCCCTTCTCACTTTCAGGGGGAGGGGGGAGCCTGGGGCGGGGAAAAAAGGAAAAAAAAAAAAGTACGGGCTGGTGTCCCGGCCGCCGGGCTGGGCCCGTGATCCCCTGGGGCAGGTCCGACCCGGCGGCGGCGGCGGCTCTGAGTCCCGAGGAGGGCGGCAGCGGCGGCGGCGGTCGAGGAGGAGGCGGCGGTCCGCGGTACATGCCTCCATTGCCGCTGTCCGCGGAGATGGATTTCAGTCAGAACAGCCTGTTCGGCTACATCGAGGACCTGCAGGAGCTCACCATCATCGAGAGGCCGGTGCGTCGGAGCCTCAAGGTACGGACGCGCGGGGAGAGCCCGCGCTGAGCCCCCTTCCCGCCCCGAGCCTTCCCCGTCCCGTCGGTTCCCCTTCCCACGCTCCCAGCCTCTACGTCTTCGCGAGGCTCTCCCAGAGAAGAGTCAGGGGTCCCATCTCGCCTCCCCTTCATCTCCAGGGGTTCCAGAGACCGAAGGTTGGGGGGGATGAGTGAGTAGAAAGCGCCTGACCCCATGCCATCCCATCCCATGCCATCTCATGCCATCCCGTCCCACCCCATCCATCCCATCCCTCCACACTCACATTTCCACTCTCTGCGTCTTCGCAGAGCTCCTCCGAAAAAGTCCAGGGTCCTATCTCAGCTTCCCCTCAGCCTCCCTTCCATCTTCGTGGGTTCCAGGAGATCAAGACGTGGGGGGAGGGAAGGAGGTGGGGAGAATCATCAGCACCCATCCCATCCGATCAGTCCACATTCCCATATTTCCAAACTCTGAGTCTTTGAAAAGCACCACCAAAGAAGTGTGGGGTGCCGCCTTAGCTCTCTGCCTCCCCAGCCTCACTTCATCTTTAGGGGTTCCAGGAAACCAAGAGGTGGGGGTGAGGGAGAAGGTGGAAAGAAAGCACCTGTCCTCATCCCATACCATCAGTCCACACTTTCGTATTTACACCTCTTCGTCTTTCCCTGGCTTATGCAGAGAAGAGTATGGGGTTGGGGTGATTACATTTCATGTCTGCAGCACCCCTTCCCCAGTCATCATTAGGGGCTCCAGTAGAATGAGGGAGTAGACAGAACCTGTTCCCATCCCATCTGGTGCAGTACTATGAGTCTACACAGCCATATTCCCACCTCTTCATCTTTGGTGGGGGCTCTCTGTAAGAAGAGTCTAGGGTCCGGGCTGGCCCCTATCCCATCTCTTCCTCTGTTTTTGTCTATCTCCCTGTCCCCCTTCCCCCTAGGGCCCCAAGAGACAGGGGAGAGGAGAGGATGAGAAGAAAGAATCTGTCCCCATCCCATCCACACTCTGAGAGAGAGGAGTAGGGCTGGGGAGGGGGGAGAGTGGGTAGGAAGAACCATCCCATCCTATCTCATTCCCTGACCCGCTTTCCTCACTTATTCTTGGGGGCTCCATCCCATCCCCATTGCCCCTTTCCACATCTCACTCTTCTAGGGTAGTCAGGGGCTCCTGAACACTATTGTGGAAAGCACCTGTTCTTATCCACACCCCCAGCTCCTCTCTTACAACATCTAGCTCCCCAATAATCAAGGGATTTAAGAAAACAGAACTTGGGGGTAAAGAGAACCTGTCCCTACTTTATCCCCACTCATGCCCATAGCACCTTTCCATATCTCCTCTCCCCCACCCCTGCCCCCAATAGTCAAGGGCTCCAGGAGATTGGAGCCCAGAGGGAAGGTGGGGACAAAGAATGCATCTCCATCCTATCCCCTCCCATCTCCACAGCCCCTCTCCTCACATTTCCCTGTAATTACCCTATCATCGAGGGGGTGGAAAACTGAACTGCAGGTGGGGTGAGGGGAAGGTTAAAAAGAACTTGTTCCAAATCTCATCTCGTGTCCCCAACCCTTTCCTAACCCTCTTTGTCTTCTTTCCTCAGTGGTTGCATGTTAGTGTGAGGTAGCCCCTCCAGGCAGGGAGGAAAGCCTGTAATCTTTGTGCAGGCCCTCCTATTGCTTCTCTTCTTGTCCCTTTCCTCTCTCCACCCTCCCCCTAATTTGGTCTTCTTTCCTCTTTTTCTTTGGGGGTCTGTTGGCAAAGGGAGCCTCTGGGGGGAAGGGAGGGTGCAGGAAACCTTTCCCAAGGAGCCTGTCCCTTTGCCTTCTTCCAGAGCTTCAGCAGCTGGGAGAAGGAGGAAGGATGAGAAGGGAAGTGGGCAGAATGAGTGAGGAGAAAACACTTGTCTCTGATTCCTACTGCCCCTCTTTACACACCTGGAGCCCTTTCCTTTGCTCCTGTCTCCCACCTCCCTGCATGCAGAAAGAGGCCTGTAAGAGAAGGTGAAGGAAACATTCTTCTATGGCTTCCCATATTTGAAAGGAGCCTTTCAAGCCATAATTCTTGTTTAATAGTGGGAAAAAAAGATTCCTCCTCGCTTCTTCTCCCAGCTATTTGGAATTTGAAGTTCCTCTCTTCAATCTAAGCCCTTTGATCGGATCTCATTGATCTTTCAATTTAGTGAAATCTGTCTTCATGGGAAGATAAAATTCCTTATTAGCTTTTAGCTTTTGGAGTTGTGGGGGATGGGTATGTTCCAGACTTGACCCTGAGAATTTTTCTACCTAATTTGTGTTTCGCATTTGACAGACACCAGAAGAAATAGAAAGACTAACAGTTGATGAAGAACTCAATGATATTGAAAGGGCTGTTTATCTGCTCAGGTATTTCCAAGTCTTACTGTAAAATTGCTGATCTTTTCCTCTGACAGCAGAAATGAATGTTTATTGAATTTGAGTTCTGCAGATTTACCAAATCAGTTGGCACACTGCTTTTGAATATATTTTGTGCTTAGGTACATAAAACTTCACCTAGATATGTTTTCATGTATTTAGTAATTTGTAAATACTGAAATCTATACACAGCTTGTTAGTGTGAGATCCAAACATAGCTTCAAGGATCCACTACGTAAGCTGAGTTTAATTTCATCCTTTTCTTGTCTCCTGCATTTGCTTCTACAAGTCAGTGAGTTGCTGTGGGAAAAGAGAACATCCAGCAGCTGATACTGGGATGATAAAAGTATTGTTACTGAGATGACAGAATAAAGGAAATTATGTTACTGTTTAAATTCATTACACCTCAGGTTGCGTGAGCTTGATAATCTTAATTGAAAGTGTTTTTGTTTAGTCAGTTGTTTTTTTAAGTTTCAAGTTTCCTTGTTCCATAAACCTACTTTTTGACATTGAATCAAATCTTGAAATCTTGATATTTAGTATTTTGTCTTACAGTTTCCTTAGTGTATTTTTTCTTTAGTTGTTTTGGGTCATGGCAGGTTTTTTAGGTTTTCTTGAACTGTTTAAAGTTTATTTTTCTAATAACAATATTAATGTAGTGATGCATGTAAGAAGAATAAGCAACATACATTCATTTTGGAGTCAGAGAAACTAGGTTCAGGTACTGTCTCTGATGCCTGTGTGACCCTAAGCAAGTCATTTTGTCTCATTCAGCCCCAGTTTTTCATCGGTAAAATGAGGGAAATGCACTAGAATGGCCTCTGAAGTGCCTTCTGGTTCTAGATCTATGGTCCTCATGGCTTCCATTTCCTTAGTTGTTGTTTAGGCTGCCATTGGTGTCTTGAGTTCTTGGTCTTACTTCAGTCATGCCATTACTGTTTCTGGTTATCTCTTTTCTCTAAGCAGTGTATTCTTAAAGTGTCTGCACATACCAGTGAAATTTTGAGGGTTTCTTTTTTGTCCTTCTTGTTACCTTTAATAACATGTGCATCATTGCCAAAATTTTAATTAAACAGGAATGTCTTTATTAGCAGACTTAGTTACGTATATTTGTATTGGTGGTGGTGATGGTAGAGAGGGTGTGTGTGTGTGGTGTGTGTGTGGTGTGTGTGTGTGTGTGTGTGTTTTGCTGCAGAGACATTTGGCAGAGAGGCTAATGCAATTTATATATTTTGACTTCCTGTAATTTCTAATTAAAATACTTTTTCCTTTGGTGACTATCATGAATAGTCATTTGCCTTTTCTAATAGTCAATATGTGAAGGTAGGCTACTGTTGAAAGTTTGAATAAAGCTTTATATTTAATGTGTATCTTTAAGTATGGGACTAAGACTTATGGTTTCATTCGTATAGGGTACTTCTGTATTAGGAAACTTATATTACAAAGGCAATCTCTGCAACTTAACAGTCTTTCAGAATTTCAAATTTGTCATTACAGATGTCTTTTATTTAGTGGAAAAGCTGTGGCCTTACAATGAGGAAATTTAGATTATTGCCCTACTTACCTGGATAGTAGAAGCTTTATTTGAGTTATCTGAGACTAGACTTCTTTGTGAAGATTGGTTTTTTCCATTTTGCCACCTGCAAACCCCACCCTCCCCTCCCCTGTAGTAAGTCTGTTTAATAGTTTGTCAGAGTTCTTTTTTTCATACTCAGGACAAAACATAGTTCTGGGACTTTAAAGTCCTTGTCAAGATATCCCCTTCCATTCTTACTCAACAAGAGTCTTAAAGGAGACTCTTCTTTTAGTCTTTTCTTGGGTGATACACCTTGCAGCTCCCTGCAAGGGCACTTAGAATAAAGAGCTAGTTTCGGCTTTCTTGGTTCTCTAACTCAGTACTGTTTTTCTGTTCCTCTTTTTTTCTCTGTTTCCTAAAGGAAACTAGAATTTCACTCATTAGGTCAGTTTTTAAAGGGATGAAGCCATGTTTGACTAAAATTTTTTGTCATATTTTTGATTTGTTTAGCATAGGTTTATTTAGGAGTTTATGTTGATAATATCATAATGTCCCTGGCTCGTGTGTGTTTTAAATTTTTTTTTCTTTCTTTAATTTGTCTATCTTGTTCATCATATTTCTGAATGCACTAGAATGTAACACATGCTGAGCCCTATTTTCTTTTCCTCCTCTTATTCTTCTTCCGTTTCCCTGAACATAATATTCTTATTTTTTAGATAATTAACATTTTTCTCCCCACTGCATCAGACATTTCAGATATTTTTCAGATATTTTTATTTTTCTATTTATACAGGTCAGGTCCTTGTTTTTGTTTTTGTTTTGCATATTCTGAAATTGAGCAGGATAAGGCAATATGGAATAGTGGAAAGAACACTGGACCTTCAATCAGGAGACTGAGGTTTGGATTTTGGTTCTATTGACAGACAGAATGACCTTGGGCAAGCCGCTTAGCCTAACCCACCCTTTGTTTCTTCTTCTGTAAAGTAGGACTAAAACTTGTTCTACTTACCTCACAGAGTTATGAGAAAAGTGCTTTGTAACATTTAAATCATCGTGTGAATTATAGTTACTGTGAGCGTATTAAGTTAGGAAAGTCAGATTTCAGCACTGAAGAAAATGCTTTGTATATATGATTCCTTCTACCATTTGGACACTAAATACAAATATGTGGTCAATGAAAGTATTTTTATGCTTATAAAATAATGTACTACTCATTAATTTACCCTCTAATATAGGGTAACGTTTCAAAACTGATAATTCAGAATGTAGAGTGTTTGAACATTTGAAGTTGAAGAACTTTTATAGCGATGTTGCATAAATAAAATTTTGAAAGCCCAAATAGTGGCATTATAGCACTGTAGCAAAACAGCTTGACCAATATTCACAGCTTGTAGAGTTAGTCATAGTAACAAAACAACCTCTTTTTCCTGTTCTGCTTTTTCTTTGGGATGCTGGTATGCAGTTTAGGGATGTGCATAGTGCATAAAATGTTTTAATATTTTTAATTACTCAAGCCTCTAAAGACACTTTGATCATGAACTCCCTTGCTCAGAGGCCTCTAGTGGCTCCCTGTTGCCTTCAAGATAAAGTTCAAATTCCTCAGTCTGACCATTCAGAACTCTTTAGTCTGACTTTACCCAGTATTTCTTTAACTGCTGATTTATCCATATGAAGCCTCTCCTCCAACTGATGTTCTCATTGTCTTCAGAACATATAGTTCTTATTTCGGAGCACTGAATGAAGAGTCAAACAATAGGTTCAGATCCTAAATCAGACATTTTCGAGCACTGGGAATGTAAACTAATCTGGATTTCCTTGAGTATCAGTCTTTCCTTATGAGCAGCCTGGGCATTATAATACTTGTCCTGCATATCTCACTGGATTATTGTGAGGTTGATACTTTGCCAACTCTAAGGTGCTCTGTAAATGCTATTTATTATTCCTGCATTGGTGCCTTTGTTCATCTTGTTCTTCCTGCCTGGAATGCCTTTCCCCTCCCATCTGCCTATTCAAATATTACTCATCAATTCAAATCCCTCTAATTCTGAAAAGCCTTGGCTGATGTTCTCATCTGTATAGATTACTTCCCTTTTCAATTGTGGGTATTGCCCACATTAATTTGGCTAATAGTAATGATAGTTCACATTTATATATGTGTGTGTGTGTGTGTGTGTGTGTGTGTGTACGTGTACATATATATGTGAAACATCTAAAAAATAGATACTTTAAAAATTTTGAAAATGCTTAATTCTCTACAATTTAAATTATTACCTAGTTGTTTCCTGTGTGTGTTTTGTTTTCCTAAACAGATTGTAATCTCCTGATGTGCAGGGATCATATTTTATATTTCTTTTTATCATCCTTTGATGCCTAGCATTGTATTATATATAAAGGGTACTCAGTAATAATTAAATGTGTCAGATGTGCTCATCTTTTTTGAAGATTAGATTCTACAAGAATTAAACCAAATTGCTTTTTCTTTTCTATATACAAATGGAAAACTCATATCAACTTGTAGATGGTGATGATACTAATTATTTTACACTTTCATATTTCTTTGCTTCTAAAGTACTCTAATTACTTTACATACTTGATAAGATAATCATAGATTTGGAATTAGGACAGACATCAGAGATTATCTAGTTCAACATCTCACCAAATCAGGAATCCAATTCACAGCATCCCCAACAAGTCATTATTTATTTAGCTCATCTTAAAGACCTCAATTCTGTAGGTACAGATTACCAAAACATAATAACCCTAATTCTCACAGCCTCTTTTTCATGAATTGTAGAATTAGTCCTGGCATAGTGGAAAGCTCATTGGCCTTAGAGTCAGAAATCCTAGGTTTCAGTCCCAGACCTGATCCTTAGTGTAGGGTATGGGACCTTGGGCAAGATGCTTCTAATCTCTGAACCTCAGTAATCTCATCTTTAAGGGATAATATTTGAACCTACCACAACAATCTTAGAATTGGCAGCTCACTTAACCATTTGAACCTGAGTTTACCCATTTGTAAAATAGCAGATAATATTACATGTAGTATCCCCATCTCACAGGGCTCTTGTGTGAGAGAGTCAAATGAGATATATATAAAGTGATTTGAAAACCTTAAAATGTTATGTAACTGTCAGTTTATTATTATGGAAATAGAAGTTATTAGTTGGAATTAAAAATGCCACCCCTGTCTTGCCACCAAAATTTCAGAAGCAGTCAAGTAAATGACAAATAATAGTAACAAAAATATGTTCTACTAGTTGTAACACAATAGGTGGTAATTAGTTACTAATAAGGATTGTCATAAGGCAAAATTATCCCAAGATATAAATAAGTATTTTAGTGAAATTACATCAAGACCATCTTTATTATTGAAGTATTTTACAGATTAGCATTTCCTGGCCACAATGCCTTTTCTATAAAGTATTATTATTAAAATGATATAGTAAAAGTAAAGAATAGTGCTTAAATTCATTTT